TCCAGCCCGCTCCCAGCTCTCCCGGCGTCTTCTCCCTGGGGTGAAGCAGAAAATTCCCCTGAAACTCAGCTGTGCGACTCACTAGGCTGGATGGGTAGTGGCCCTGCCCCGAAAGGTGCCCTAGTGCTCCTCTGCCCCAGGCCGTTACTACCCACCGAGCTAGCTGATTTTCTACCCTGCCTATACTTATTTAACTTTGAAGACAAGATGCCTGAGGGCCAGAGGTGCTTCCTTAGCTGAAACTGGTGGCACCTGAGGTGGCTGTGAATGTGACCACCCGGCAACCTCTCCCCTCATTCTAATCCCACTCTCATGCTGAGCGTCTCCCCCTTCCAGGGAGATGACCATTGACAGTGGCCATGGGGATGGCTCCAAAGAGCATTCAACAAAATGAAAAGAGGTGGTGCCCAAGTTCCAGGAGGATCTCAGCCCATCCCAGAAAAGGAGTCAGTGATTTCCCTCCCACCGTCCTCATTTTCTACACCTCACACTTCTGACTTCCCCACCCTTATCAGGTTGAGAAGATGTTTTTGTTTGTTTGTTTGTTTTTTTAATTTTAAAAATAAAAGGAGGAAAATATTAACAGACAGACAACATTTTACAAAATAGCATAGGAACAGTACAGACAGTACGCAGTTACAAACAATTTTAGTATATGTGCTGCCGAAGTGAGCACTGCAGTTACAAACAAAGTGGTAGGGAATTAACAATGCTTGCTGTATTACATATTGATATCTTCAAAGTGGTTTCTCATGAAAACAGATATAGACATGCAATGCTGATCGACCAAGGACTCACTGACAGTGAGAAGATGGCTTTGGAGTCTGCCTCCCACTTCTCATCAGGAATAAAAGCCTCTTTCATTGCTCAGCAGGTCCTTGGTCTTAGTACTGGTTCTGAGAGGGAGATAGGACAGGGTTTGGGGTCAAACGCTGGCACTAGCTGGGAGGAGAGCAGCCGGCAGTGGGGTCTGGGTAGAGATGCTGGAGGGACTCAGAGGAAGCTGCACAGGAGAGATCTAGGGGTGAGGAGGAGCTCTGTAGGAAGACCCTGCAAAAGTAAAAGTCTAGGAGCCCTGTGTGGTCTGCAGTACGGCACTTGTTCAGTATTTGCAAGGCCCTTGCTCCATCCCCGGAGTTCCCCTCCTCCACCCAAGGACAGGATATCCGAAGCAGGCATCCACCAATCACGAAGCAGGGTGCAGGGTGGGTGGGAGCCCTCTTGATGGTGAAAGGGGATAGGGAGGCAGGTTTGCTGGTAGAGGGTGTGTACAATGGATGAGGTAGGTACAATCCCTAGGGGTGCTGGGCATGGTGACTGGAGGGTCCCCTATCTATCAGTGGCTGGTCTTTCTTTCCCCAAGGTGGGCCGGCTGGAAGCACCTGGCATGTGAGGGCTGAGCTGGCTCCTCTCCTTGTGTCAGCAAGGAGGGTGGGGTGAATGTTGTTCCCAACAGGAAGTTGGGTAACCATGAGCTTCTCAGAAATTCTGAGTTTCACTTTCCCTATTGGGAGTCTGCATCAAGGAGACCTCTACTCACTGCTCAGCCCGCAGCTGGTGACAGGGTCTGCACAGCTCGGCACACCTGGGGTGAGTCCTATCACAGACAAGGGTGGAGTTTTTGGGAAGTTGGGGAAGCCAGAGCAGCCATAGTGTCCCCAGGACATAGATGAGCTCAGAGAGCTAGGGATGGGCCCCAGATCGCACAGTTCAGCAGCAGCAGAGGCTGGATTTGTGCCCAGGTTTGTGTCTCACTGCTCTCCTCCATAAGACCTTAAGCAGTAGAGAGGAAAAGACCGCACAAATGGGTCACAAAGTTCCCCTGGGCCCAGCACAGGTGGAGTGAGACCTGACAGATGACCCTGAGAAGAGGTGGATGTGGTAGTGGCCAGTGCTTTTGAAAATTTGGAGGATCCAAAGGAGGAGCCAGAGCCCACTTGTCCTTGTGGCTTGGTCACCTTAGCTGGGACTGCTCTGGAGGCATGTGGGGAAAAAGGGTTTCTTTTATGATCCAAGCAGCCTTGGGGTTATCTCACCCAGACTGTCCCTGGGCACCTGTGCTGTGCCAGGTTCTATGGGGGAATTGAGGGCCTGGGAGGAGACTGAGCTGCCTGGGGCCCAGGGCAGGTGGCTGAGCAGGTAGATGGTAGGCCTGTTTCCATGGACTCTCACCGGTCCCCTGGCTCAGCCTGCTGGGGAGGGAAGAACAAGGCAGAGGCTGTGCTGTGTGCTCAGACAGGCACGGTGCTCAGACGTGGGGATCGAGAGGGGCAGGCTGCAGAGTGGTGTCCTCAGCAGCACTGTGGCTTTGTAACTGAGACTCTATTCTGTTCTCTCATATGGTTGGATGGTAGGTTATTTCAATTTTTTTTTTTTTTTTTTGGTGGTTGTTATGGCAAAAATTTGGGCTGTATTCCGCAAGAGACCAAAGAGAACAGACAAAGTTTTTAATTTAGACCAGTCACCTCTCATTCTGACTTGCAAGTCCGGGAAGTGGGCGTGGACCTGTCTTTGTTCCCACGTTAGATACATTTTTGGTTTCCATAGTAACAGAAAGGAATGTTATAGCCCTGGCCACATGTTGTTTTCCTTGTGCCATGTAATCGGGTCAGGCTCCGGTCATGAGCCCAATCACAATGATATATACTTTTTGTACTCTGTTTTATATGTCCCCCTTTAGATAACCATGCATTTACTTTATGGTTACAATGTTTACCTAGGGCCAGGAGATGGAACTGCCCAGGCAGGGTCATGGAGGGTTAACTAGGCCTAGGCGCCCCCTTATCGTGGGGAGACATTCCTGGACAGTGTTGATCTGGGGAATTAGCTCTTACACTGTCCCAGGAGGCTTCCCAAGGCACCATGTAGGCTTTTACCAAAACTATTTTATCCAAAATAATATGCTAAGATTCATTGCCCCCTACATGGTAAGACCAACCTGAGCATCACTCTCACATTGTTGCACATTTTTACTCTAAGTGGCTGGGACACACTTGGGGGCTTTGGAAACTGGGTGAGAATTGCTGATCATTCTCCAAAACTCTAGATTGTTCCACACCCCACCCACCAAGATGGAGCGCATGGCCACACCCATGGGCAGTACTGGTTATTTCCAATCTGGCCAAGTTGCTAGTTTACAAATGCATCGCTGTGGAGAGCTAGTGTGCCCTGATTTGTGCCAGCAGAGGAGCAGCCGGGGCACTAACGCGATAATCTCCACCCCTTTCTCCTGAAAGTCCCTGGCCACACTCCTGAGTGGCAGGTGTGAAGGGTGGGGGTGGGAGGTGGAGCTAGGCCTGAGTGTGGTCCTGGGGTCACCTGGACACCAAGCCTGAGAGGGGCCACCTCAGGACCTGCCATTCTTCAACTGTAGGTCAGCCCTGTGGTTATTGAATTTTCTCCTTTTCATTCTCCCCTTTCTCCTGCTATAAAATATCAAGGCTGTAGGGAGAGGACGCAAGGTGGAAACTCAGAAGTATGGTAGAACTATCCAAAGGACCTAAAGTCCTGGATGCGATATGTGTGTGAAGTGAGTCATAGTCCTAGTTGTGCTCTGCTAAAAAGAGCTGAACATGGAGAGAGGGAAAAACTAATGATATTACTCCCCTGGGAGGGAAGGTTACCTGGGCTGTGTCCTCAGAGGCTGGGCTCCGTGTCCCATGAGTGCCTCCCAAATGAGTGTGTAGGGCAGGCGGGGCTGGGGACAGAGGCCATGCTGGTTGGTCTTAGGGGTCTTAATGCGACTGCAGCAGGGATGACGACAGGGCCCTGGCTTGGGTGAACCCAGTCTCCTGGGTGTCCAGATAGAAGGACCCAGGAATCCCCTCTTTCCAGGGGAGCCTGGGAAAGCTTGGCACAGCCAGCAGGGAGGAGCTGGGCCTGGCATGGAGGCGAGGCGGGGCAGACGGCCAGGGGAGGGCACAGCCCAGCACAGGCCTCATGTCTGATGTGCAGATCGTGGTCCAGGAAGGACCTGGATCGAAGGTGCACGGTGGGCAGGGAGAGGTGAGGACGGAGGAGCTGCGGCAGGCAGCAGGGCCTGGGCGCCGGGTTCAGGGCTGGAACTTGATCGTGGCAGCTCATTAAGTATCCCTTAGGAGGCGCGTGCTGTCGTAACCCTTGGAAGGTGACCATACTGGCCACTGAGAGGAAGAGTGTAGGAGTCGGTGGTCCCTGGTGGTTGGGGGGGGAACGGCGTTGAGGGGGGATTTAGAAAATAAACATGAGAGACAAAAGCTGGGGTCAGGTGCAGTGGCCTCTTACCTGATGGGCTAAAGGACCTGCACAATAACAGTAGGAGTGTTTATTGTTACTCTTGCAAAGTTAGTGTCTCACCAGGGAACCCTAGTTGCCTAGTGACTAATGACTGAAATTGTCCAGACAGGATGTTTCTCTCAAGACTGAGGTAGCCTGAGTGCTTGAGGCACTCTGGCTCTGTCCTGGCCTCACACAGATGACCAGTTTTCAGCTCCAGCTGCTCCCAACAGAAGAGGCTAGGCTGGAACCTCTTTCTGTGTCCTGGGGAACCCAGAACACAGCTGATGGGGAAGGGAGGGCCCCTTGGCTGGGCTGAGGCTGTGGCCAGGACAGAGCCAGGGAGGCGCCACCGGGCTTCTTCCCGGGCACCTCCCTTCTCCACCAACAGCCTTCGCAGGAACGGAGCAGCTGGCAGGCCCAGGCACAGTAACGTGCTCACTGTGACTCTTATGGGCACCCAGCTGAGGCTCCAGACAAGAGTCAGAGCTGAGAGTGAGAAGGAAGGATGAGACCCAGGGTGCAGACTCACTGACATTGTGTGGAGTCACCAAGACCCCGGGTTTTTTTCTGTCTGCCCCGTCCTCAGCCTCAGCTCACAGTCCCAGCATCAAGAGACCTCAGAATGCAGGGTGTCTCAGGAGGAAGGTGAAGAGGCAGCCAGCTCTCTTGTCACTCCTGTACCTTAGAGCAACAAGAGCCCAAGAATTCTCTCAGCCAACTTTCTCTTGTGCGTCATTCGTCAGGGATGGGTCAGACGGTCACCACTGATGGCCAGGAGCAGCAGAGAGCAGACACCCAGATGTCCTGTGGCCAAGACCAGAAACAGCCAGGTGAGAGGGGAAGAGGGTCACTTTGCACTTAGCGGCCAGGCATCCCGTGGCCATGGGAGCCTTGTGGTGCTGAGACAATGTCACAGAGCAAAGAGCTGGATCTGGATGTGACCAGACCTGCTGTGTCCTAGTCAGAGACAAGGACTTGCTGGGAGCTGTCCCCATCCTGGGTGGGCCTGACAGGGACACTTCACACCCGCATGGCTTATTCTTTCCTTCTCACATGGCAGAAGTCATCTGTGTCTCTGAAGGGAGTGTCCCCCAGCCGAGGCACACGCTGGTCACTCCCATGGTCAGTAAAACAGGTGAACTTCACTTCATATCTTGAGGGAGGCGGGGTGTGATTTCACAGCCCGCAGGCAGGGGCGCTAGAAACAACCCTTGTGGATGGTCTCAGGTTGGGTGGGTGGAGGAGGCTCTGCACTGTGACCGTGGAAAGTGAGGGGTGCCTCTATCTCTGGGCATCTCAACAACCCTATCTGTAGAGGGCAGGAACAAGGACCAGGTAAAGCTGTTCTTGATAACAGAATACAGTCATTCTTTGTAGCTGAGAGCATGTGTCCATGACTGTAATAAAATCCCTGAGACCGGGTCATTTATAAAGGTATTCAGCTCATGGAAGCTGGGAATTCCAAGAGCATGGAGCTGTCAGTTCCTTGATGTTGGAGAGGACCTTATTGAGGCACCTTAAGATGGTGGAGAGCATCACAGTGAGCACGGGTGCATAATGGAGGAAAAGTTTACACAAGGAGAATGCTTTGCACCATTGTTCTTACAAAAGATGAAAAACAATGTGAGCTGCAAAATGCAGGGCAGGGCACTAGAGGGCGCTCGGCAGCCGCAGCAGTAAGGAAGCAAGGAGGAAAGACAGCACCCAGGGCACGGGGAAGATTACTAAGACAGGGCCACGGGCACAGGGTTCCAGATATGGATTTGGGATGAGAAGCGTCACTGACAATAAACACGCTTGCGTGAGTATATAGGGAGTGTATTTTAGGGAGTAGAGTGTAGTCTTCAATACGTGGGATTTGGACCTGTGTGTATTGAGTTCACGTCTTGGCCCCTGCACCTCTCTGAAAACTTGGCCATAGATGTCCTCATGCCATGGACGGTGTGCGATAACTCAGTGAGGTGCAGGGAAGGAGGCTGCACACTGCAGACCCTCGATAAACACCAACCAACATCTTTAGCAAACACGGGTGTTCCCAGCCAGGTTCTTAGTACAACGTGGCTTCCACCTCTCCTCTGTGTGTGGGTTCCATGGGATCTACATGGCTGTGTCCTCTCCCCATCACCCTCTCTGTTCCCTCATAAGACCTGGGGCCTCTGCCTGGCGGGGGTGAGGGCAGAGGGACTGGAGCAGGATGACTGCCTGCCTTTAAATAGCAGCCCGGAGCCTGGGGGATGGAGCACACCCTGGGCGACAGCTGTTTTGACCTTCCTCAGGGACAGGGCCCAGGTGCACACTTCCTCCCCAGCCCTCCTCCTAGTCAGAGCTACAGATGAGAACAGGACTGTTTGGGGGAGGCCCCTCCTGCCTGTCCAGGCACTGACCCTGGGGCACTGCCCACGAGGAGGCAGCTCCCTCCAGCCCCTGCCCTGTGGGGCCCAACTGCTCCTCAAGGCTCAGGAGGAAGAGTGACCCAGAGTGCCACTGCACTGGAGCCCAGTGAGACCTTTGCCACCTCACATCTATGTGACCTGGAGGCCCTCCCGTCCGCCGTCCCAGGAGAACAGTGTTTTGCAGGGTACTGTGAGGCTCAGCTATAGCAGGTGAGCTCCATGAGTGTGGGTCTCTCCCCTTCTGGAACTGTTACATCTTTTGCCCACTCTCTGCCTCCTGCTTCACCCATGGAGCTGTGTCCGGCACCTGCCCTGCCCTGCCCTGCCATGACAGGCACCTGCTCACCAGGTGCAACTGCTTCCACACTGAGCTGGTTCCAATGAGCTCTCACAAAAGGAAAATCTAAGGGGAAAGGAAACAAGCTCCTCCCCAATGAGCTCCTCCTTCCCTCAGTCCTGTTTTCTTCCCTCCACTCCACACCTTCAGCTGAGTCCCTCCTCAATTCTCCAGCCCTGAGAGCAAACTGTGCCGTCAGGAGCGATGGCGAAGGACAAGGGAGGGGGAAGACTGGACCCGAGCAGGGCTGCGGCTGCTTGGCTTCCGGATGACCCTTTCTTGTGTACCAGTGGGCAGCCTGGGCCCGGATCCCACCGGAAAGTGTGTTTCCTGACACGTGCAGAAACTGTCTCCAGAGTCCCAGGCCAGCTGCCTGATTCCTGACCAATCAGGGCCGGCTACTCCTTTCAGCCCCAACTGGTCAAAGTAATGGTGGAAAGCAGGGAAGGAGCCTGGACGGGTGCAGCTCTAGGGAAGACACGAGGCCCTGTGTGGTCAGCCCGGCCTCAGAGGTGCTGTGCTGAGCCCCGGATTCTACAGACAAGGGGCCTGCAGTGTGCACAGTCACACGGCCTGTGTCAGGGGGTCTGGTGGCCGTTGTCTCAGCACTGGGCAGGCGGGGCTTGTGCGAAGCGATGAGGAAGTGTCCACCCTGCTGTAGTTTCCCGCTGGACATGTGCAGGCCCCAGGAGGAGTCAGTGCTTTAACAGAGGCAGCCTCTCAGCCTTGTCCCAGGATCACAAGGGTCAGAGTGGAGAGTCCAGCCCCACCTGCTCCCCGCCCACCTGAGCAATGCCCTCCACTGCCAGGCTCAGAGCACAAGGATCCTGTTTTCATCACAGTTGTATCCGGTGGTACATAGTTTCATACATTTATATATTTTTAAAAATCTAACCAGTGAATTCTAAAGTAGATTGCTTAAGTTATAGGAAAATTTACAAACAGGAATCTTCTAAGGGTTACAAAAAATTGACCAGTTAAACATATATGTAATGTCAGATAAATAATTTGCAAAAGCAACACACAACCTTACTGTGCTCTACATGCTCTGATACTGATACTTCTGTTTCCTCTTAAAAGTGCTGCTCTGAACCCAATGAATGAATTTCAGAATGTACTAAGGGTTTGAAACTCACGTTGGAAGATGCAGGTACACCCGGTGACACACAGTGGGCACGGGGTAGGTGACCCCAATGGTGGGAGTTTGCCGCTCCCCAGGCTGAGGTGCACTTTCTGAGCTCTGTGCTGAAGGCGCTTCCCCGGTGTGCTAGTCCCCTCCTGGGACCGCCACAGGGTCCACAGGCTGGCAGCTTCAACAACAGAAGCCTCTTTTCTACTGGTTCTGGAAGTGAATCCATGATGAGGTGGGGAGGGCTGGTTTCCCATCAGGGCTGTCTTCCTGGTTTGCAGAGGGAGTCTTCTCACTGTGTGTGCACATGGCCTTTCTCTGAGAGCAGGGCGAGGGAGAGAGAAGAAGGAGAAGGAGGAGAAGAGGAAGAAGAAGAAGAAGGAGAGAGAGAGAGAGAGAGAGAGAGAGAGAGAGAGAGAGAGAGAGAGAGAGAGAGATTGATTTGTCCTTATAAGGACAACAGTCCTGGGGCTGGGGATTTAGCTCAGTGGCACAGCACAAGGTTGTGAGTTCGATTCCCAGTACTGGAAAACAAAAAAAAAAAAAAAAAAAAGGACAACAGTCCTACAGATTAGGGCCCTACCTTTATCATCTCATTTTATATCAGTTACCACACCTCCTTAAAGCCTTATCTCCACATTTGGCCACTGGGGTTCAGGGCTTAACATACAAGTTTGGGGCACACATTTTGGTCCTTAACACTAGTTTCTCCATCTAAAGTGTCTGATGTGACAGCAGGTCCTAGGTGAATATGAACCACCTGTACTCAAAGCTGTTTACACTCTCCTGCTCTGTCACTGACCCTGGTCCTTTCTCCTCCACCAGACACTGACAGCTTCTTAGAGGTCGTCCTTGAGCATATCCTGCACACACTGAGCAGTGCGCATCTGCAGCAACTGCTGATTGACGATGTCGCCTGGGAGATACTGGTGGAGACGACCGATTTGACCAGGTCACCTGTATGGGGCGTCCCAGCAATGCCACTTTGATCCCCACTGGACTCAGGCTGTCAGGGACAGACACACCCCCTCCAGCCTGTTCCTGTGGTTGGGGTTCAGGGAGCCCCTTCCCCACAATCCCTGGGAGACTTGATCTCCATATCATTTCCTGGCCATGAGTGGCCTCAGGGTTCAGGGACAGAGCACCCATAGCTCCCTGCTGCCAACTGCACATTATGGGACCTTTGCTGGTCCCTTCACCACATTCTGCCTTAGTTTCTTCAACCATCGAGTTTGTAAGAAAAGTTGGCTAGTGCGTGAAAGTGCTGAGCATGTGGCTGACACACAGCAGGGGCTCAAGCGAAGGTAAGAAGGTAACTGTGAGAGGGCAGGAGGGAGAGAGCAGGGCTGAGGCTGCTCCTTGCAGTAGGGAGGCAGGGAGGACTTGCTTGAGAAAGTCAAATAAATGTAGACCTCATCAGGGTGTTTGTGGGGTTCTGGCTGAGGCCATTTACCTTTGCATCTGAGGAATTGTACCAACACAACAGGACACTTACTTTTGAGAAAGTCACTTGTTGCATTTTGTGTAGTCCAGGCTGCTCTTGAATTCCTGTGTTGCCCAGGTTGGCATCAAAATTGCCATCCTCCTGCTTCACCCTCCTGAGTGCTGGGAGTGCTGGTGTGTACAACTGTCCTGGGCCAGGATGCAGAGAGACCAACATGGAATAGGATAGAGCTGGGTGGACCCTGGCTGACCGTCAGCTGTAGGGCTGCAGGCTGATGGCTGGGACACCAGGATTGTGATGTGTTCTGTGGGAGCAGAGATTCAATCTGATGAGACTGTAATGAGCTGGGGGTCAGAGGGGGAAGACAGCTTTCCAGAGGCCCACAGCAACCTGTGACAGGGTCAGAGCCAGGACTGAGGATGGAGCAGATGGGGCCTGGGATGGAGCAGTAATAAGAAGCCTGGGGCTGCAGGGCTGGACAGAGTGAGAGAAGGCGGGTGCTGGAGGCTGAAAGCATGGGGAGTCCTGGCCCAGCAGAAGACGCAGTCGGCGAGGGCTTGTTTCCTACCCTTGTGGTGACCCATCGCAGATAGCTCAGAGGGCTGAGGTGGTGGGTGGTTGTCTCCTTTGTACCCTGCTCATCACTGAGGAGTTCTCTGCTCTCATCTGGGACCTTCTTCTATTCACGCAAAGTAGCTCTGACCTTTGGGAAGGCAGTGGCTTAGTGACAAACTCCTCAAGTAGAACTGTTGACAACTTTGTGCAATTTACTTTGTGTAGTTTGTGAGTCTGAGGACACTGAGAGTCCCCAGCAGAGAGAGCACTTCTCTATTATCATGTGCAGTTACAGGGTTCTCAGGCTGTAGATGCAGAGATGGGTCTCAAGTTCTCCCAATTCACTACACATGGCCTTTGCACAAGCTCATGAGATTTGTTCCTGGCGAAGGTGTCATTTCTGCTCATGACATTAACAGAAAGTCCTGGTCATAAAGTCGGGTGTACATGAACTCCAGGGTAGGCAGAGAGGATGGAGCCAGGGTAAACCTCTAGGTCTCCTTCTTCCCAAATAGCTCAGGCAGCAGGTGAATGCATTGACCTTCAGCTCAAAGTGCAAAGGGCCCCAGACATTGGAATAGAGTGAGTGGGAGGCCAACTGAAATTTTTATCTCTTTTGCCTGAGAGGGTTTACTTTTTATATCTTATTACTCAGAGTGAACCAAAGGCACAGTCTTTCAGGCTACCCTTATTTTCGACATCACTGCAAATCTGAGAACTCCCCAAAACCTCATGCAGATGTGACAGTTCACTAGAGGGACTTGGCGAATCACTACAAATGTTTATTACACACTTACAATGTATCACGGGGACATCCCCAGGGTAAAACCAGTCATAGAGAGGGCACCAGAGTGCATAATCTGACAGGTGTCAAGCACAAAGCTTGCATTTTCCACAGGACACAGTGCGCTCCCACGTGTGATGTGTGACAATTCACAAGGGAATGCCGGGCTGCAAGGCTCAGCCTGTGAGGGAAACATCACCCTGATGTGTGGCTGAGCAAGTGCTGGATGCACTGGAAAGCCAAGGTCAAAGCCTACTGGGAAAGTGGGTCAGAGGGTCCTAACTAAATTTTGGTTCTGCTGTGTTCTCCAGACTTCAGGGCTAACCTGGAGGTTCCATCTGTTCCTATAGGTCAATCCTTTTAGCCTGCATTTTCTCTGGAAGTCAGAAATGATCCCCAACACCCTGTCATCCATCACACAGTAAGGATGAGCATCCAATATAGGAAGTCCCTGGGATATAGGAATCCCTATCCAATATAGGAAATCCATGGGTTTTCCATGATAGATGTTTCCTGATTTTCAAATATTTGCTGAAACATTAAGAAATAGCCTGGGAATGAGACTCAAAACAAAACATGAAATTCATTTATGTTTCGTTACACCTTGTGCGGGTAGGAAGGATGTAATTTCATACAATTTTTCAGCAAGATTGTGCCTTGACTGAGACCCATCCTGTGGGTCAGGCATGGAACTTTCTACTTGTGGCATCATGTCCATGTCGGTGCTCAAAAGGTTTCAGATTTTGGTGTTTTCCAAATTTATGTTTTTGGAGTAGGAATGCTCAGCCACTGTTGTCCCCAGGCAAACACGGACACTCCAGCAGTGAGGAATTTCTGGGACCTACAGATCACAACCTCACAGCTGAGGGCAATGTGCAGGTTTTCCCTCACTATGCATTAAGATTCTCTGATCTAAGGCTCTCCCACCTATTGTTCCAATTCTTCGTGTTCCTCTACAGAGTTTCTGCTCCACAAAGATGTTGCTCATCACGGCAATGACCTTGCATGAGATGGTGCTTTATCACATACCCATGTTAAAAAGAGCATCTGAAAGTGATGTACAGACATGGACCCCTTTATGAAATAATGATATCCAAAACATGTTTCTCTCTGAAAGAAAAATTCTGTGCAACTGTGTAATTGTTTCTCATTTTATTATAATGAACCTTTGTCATGTGTGCAGGATAGACCTTCCAGAACCCATTTTCCAAACAGACAAACTGCCTTTTTTAACCCCCTGACCTTTACTGTTCCAGGGAGGAGGCAGATGCTGTGCGTGATGCTCTCACTAAGGTGAGCCTCCAGGCGAGGGAGAGGTTCTTGAACATATTTCCTCATGTGAGAAAGCAGCTGCAGGAGGGCATAGCCAAGCTCTATGCCCTTGCAGAGAAGGTTGACAAAGTGCACAAGGACTGCACCATCACCAACGTGGTGGCCGGCTCCAGCGGTGCTGTCTCTGGCATCCTCACCATCCTTGGCGTGGCTCTGGCACCTGTGACAGCAGGTGGTAGTTTGGCGCTGTCAGCCACTGGAATAGGGCTGGGAGCAGCTGCTGCTGTGACTGGTGTTTCTGCAAGCATCATAGACCACTCAAACATGTCGGCAGTACAAACTGAAGCCAGTCGCCTGCTGTCAAGCAAAATGGACACAGAGAAGGAGGTTCTAGAGATTGTGGGTGAGGCCACGCCCAAATTTGTTTCTGCAACCAAGAAGTGTGGGCAAGTCTTCGAAGTCATTGAGAAGAATATCTGTGCTATTAATGTGCCCAAATCCACTCCTCAGTTACTAGCTAAAGCCCCCCGCCTCATGAGTCCTCGGCAAATCTCAGTCCAAAATGGTGAGCAGGTGCAGAGAACCCTTGAAAGCAATGTTCTGGCAATGTCAAGAGGTGCCTCAATCACAGGTGCAGCAACTGCTGGTGTTACCCTTCTGTGGGATGTGTACAACCTTGTGTAAGACTCAGTGCATTTACACAAGGGGGCAAAGACAGAATCAGCTGCAGAGCTGTGGAAGCGGGCTCAGGATCTGGAGAGGAAGCTGGAGGAGCTCATCCAGATCCATGAGAGTTTGCAGTTGGACCTGACTAAGTGACAGAGTCCCCAAGCAGTGCAGAGCTCAGGGCCCAGGTGCATTTCAAGCACATGCACAAAGGCAGGAAGTGCTGCAGAGGGAAAAAGAGGGTGAGATCAAGTCTATGCAACTGGGTGTTCAGGAACTGTGCATTTCTGTGGCTGAGCCCAAGCAGGGAGGGGTTAATGCAGATGAAGTGGATTAAAGAGAAGGTAGGGCCCTGGGGTCTGACATAAGGGAGAAGCAGTGACTAAAGGGTGTGGGAGATAGGAGGAAAGAGTTTCTTTTTTCATAAAGATTCACTGGAGCCCTGGATAGAAGCAGCTGCAGGAAGAAGCAGTGGGAAGTTCAGGGAAACAGAAGTTCAAAAACAGGACTCTGCTTCTCACCTTTCGCACAGTCTGACATCCAACAACAGCACAGTATACCCTTCCTGGTCTGTGTCTCTTTCTTTCCAGTGTCAATAAATGCTTATCTCTGTCATGCAGTGAGTTCAACCATGACAGTGATAATGATGATGATGATGGTGGTGGTGGGTGATGATACTGGTGATGATGTTGGGAGTGATAGTAGTGATCACGGTGCTGCTGATGGTGGTGGGCGGTGGGGAGTAAAGACAGTAGAGCTGGTGGAGCTCTTCACACATGGCCAGCTCAGCAGAGTTGAGAACCAATGAAGGACGCTGGTGGTGTGTGGTGAAAAAACAATGAGGCCTGAAGAAAATTAACCTCTATGAATTTCACTCTCTTCATGCTTTGGAAAACGGAATGCTGGACAAGAGGTAGCTCAGATTTGTCTCTCCTTCCTGTATTACATTTTGCAGACTAGTTTAATAAATATTTCTTATTGTTTTGGAAAAATTGGATTTAAATTAACCAATGTCCATAGGCATAAATTGCCATGAGGCCAAGGAAAAAAGATGCATGAATACAGAGTCTAATCATTATTGGGAACGTAGGGACAGAGTCCTGCTCAAGGGCAGCAGCAAACCCAGTGCATTCCACTACTTGGGGCAGACGGAGGTGCTGACACAATAGTCAGGACAGAAGTAACTTCACCCAAGGCAGACTGCACCTTGTTTTACCTTAACCAGACAACAAAGATGTGAGAAGGTACATTCTGGCACTGATATCGCTATGATCTGAGAGTGAAATCCCAGATACGACTCTAACGGTTGTGTATAGCTATGGTATGTGGAAAACTGCAGAGGGAAAAGAGGTAAGGGTTACTGAGGAGGGATCATATTGGTTACATGTCAAGATCCCTGTGGTTGGGTCAGGATGGCCCCTATAGTGACACATTGAGCCTTTGCTGTCCTGACTGACTGCCTCAACTGTGAACCCCTTGCCCAATCTCCTTTTCTTATGAACCTTCTCCCGGGGTCTCAGCATTCCTGTTCACTCATTCATCTCTCCAGCTGTTGCCACAAGTGTACTGTGGCAGGACTTGAAGGAGCCCCCTTACATGGCTCAGCCCTGTGGTATTGAGACTGAAGGTGAGCAGGCTTTCTGCTGTGCACACCAGCGTCTCTCTTGTGATGGTGATTGGCAGGACCAGGGGTCCCAACCTCCACTAGTTCTTTTTTACCGTCCTCTAGCTACCCCTTCTCCCTGCCTGTCTTGGAAGAGAAGGGATAAGAAAAGACTTAGGAGAGGACTGGAAATGATGCAGAGCTTCAGCATACAAAATGGTAGAAGTTCAAAAATGGTTCTTATACTGCATATTGTTTTCAGATCAGTCATTATAATTACCAAATTCAAGCGTGTAATATTGGTCAAGAAAAAAGAAAATGTTAAACATGTACTGTTCTTCTCAATAAACTACATACATCAGCAATACACCTATATTTTATTTATTTATTTATTTTTTACTTGTTACTGTCTTTGCTTGTTTGACCAATCTTTCATTCATATATCTAATAGACTGAGCACCTTCTTTGAAGATAACAGTATGTAGTATAGCAACCATTGTAAATTTCTATCACTTTTTCTTGAAGTCATGTATCATTTTTGTTGTTTTTTGTGTTGTTTTGATTTGTCTTCATTGTTGTTTTGTCAGTTTTTTAAATTTTTAAAATAACAAAATAAAAAAAGAAAGGATTGGGGCCTTCCTACGGGAAGAACAGAGAAAGAAATCTAAAGCAGTCCTTAAATTGGTCCTTCTAAACCTGAGTCCATTGCTTCAGAGGGAGAGAGAGGCACAGAGAGAGAAACAGAGAGACACAGAAAAAGACAGAGACAGACCAGAGAGACAGACACAGATTCAGAGACATACTTGTGCCCAAAGACCTCACCTCCTGGCCCTCCTGTTAGGCTTTGCCACATATATTGTTGGATGTGATAAGGACTAGCAGTAAATTCCTGGTTTTCATTGTTCTGTTCAATGAACTAGATGGAACAACTGGTGAATGTGATAGATGGTCATCTCCATAGGGCAAACGTAAGAAAAAGGGAAAAGAAGGGCCGAAGGAAGTGCTCAAGGAGAAGAGGGTGCTGTGAGAGAAATAGAGAAGGTATGGCCTGCAAGCAGAATAAGAGGGGAGTGTCTACGAAATCAATTCCTGCCATCCTTTTATAGTTTTTGATAGGTGATCTGGGTGGTTCCTCTTGATCTTGTGCAAGAAGATTGATATGAGGGGCCAAGTTTGGTGTGTTCTTGTGTGAGAAGTTTGGTACCGGTGCAGGGGTTGGCTTGATCTCATGTCAGGCTAGGGTGCTGTTGCTCTGTGCCTGTGGCTAACAAGTCTTCAATTGTTAGATTGTGCCCAATGGCCTCAGCAGTATTGCCATGCCCTAGCCTCATGCTACTATCAGATCACAGCACACTGACACTAGGAATCAAATGCAAAGGAAACCAGAGCAATTTTACAAATACGTGGACAACAAATAACACACTTATGAACACTCACTGTGTCAGAGAAAAAAATTAAGGAAGAAATAAACAATTCCTTGCATGAAATAATAATGCCAGTACAACATACCAGAACCTACAGGATACAATGAAAATGGTCCTAAGAGGGAGGTTTATTGCTGTAAATGCTCATGTTAAAGAAGTAGAGTGAGCTCAAATAAATAACATATTCATGCACCTCAATATTCTAGAACAATAAGAATAGTCCAACCCCAAATCTAGCACAAGGAAGGAAGTAATAAAGACTGGAGCACAGATTATATAAATGGAGACAAAACATGCAAAGAAACTATGCATTCAAGACTGGATTCTTTGAAAGAATCAAGAAAATATACAAACCCCATGAAAAACTTAATAAAAGTGGCAAAAATGAACAACTTCAATAAAATTTTCAAATCTCTGTTTCAGCTCCTTACTTTTAAGCATACAACAGTGGAACCCTGGGATTCATATACGTTTGGAATTATCCACCAGGCCATGGTTTGGGCGCTTCCTCTGTCCAGGGCACTATTGTCACTGAGGATCCTAAGGTCCAGAGGAACAGATGGGGTGAGTGACACACATGAACTGTGCCAGGCCTTTTCTCTCACTCTAACTTCCCTTTCTTCAAAGACTCTGCATCTGTCCTCCAACTCAAGTTTTGGAATTAGGTGACAAGCAGGGAGGAGACAGCATGATGACCTTTGTCTGACCTTTGCTCACTACATTTGGGCTTTGACACAGCAAGTTCACTGTCCCTGATTTTCCTTCTGGGAATCAATCTCTGCATGTGAAACTTCCCTGAGCCCTGATCCTCTGCTTGACCTATGGAAATACGCAAGGACCTGTGCCTGACACAGGACCACATTTTCTTGAAAGAACAGAGGAAGCTAGGCATAGTATATAGGGACCAGTGAGTGAGTGAGTGAGTGGGAAGAACATCCACTGGCAGGATGAAAGTAAAAAGAGGTCAAAATGCCTATAAACTGTGCATCTTTCTTCATTGCAGAGTAGTACTCCATTGTGTATAAATACATTTTCTCCTGTTTGTGCCACCCTTTTATTTCTACTGTAATGAATCTGTACTTCCTGAGCAGACCTTCCATGCTAACTTCCATCCATGTAGCTCCTTTTGCTTTTACCATCGGTGTACACTTGCAATTCTTTGCTAGCCAGACAGAAGAATCTAGAAGCTGTCCTTGGAACCATCCACACTGCATCCTGGAGAACTGCCCTGACACCTCCAACCTATGGGGTTGGAGGATTAAGTGCCTCTTATCTTTGGTATGTTTCCTATGACTTTCACATACAATTTCTAAAAGAGGGCACGGTTGTAATAATAGGAGAAAAAGAAAAGATGAAAGAAAAAAAAAAAACAAGTAAAGTTAGATAATGAAGTGGCAGGAGCAAGGGGCTAATACTAATTCTCTGGAAAAATAAGAGGACACACAGCTCACAAACTAGTTCAGAAATCCTAGGACTCTCAGCCAAAATGAAGTGGAGCCTGAGCCCCAGAGGATACCCAGCTGTACCCACCAAGGGGCAGCGTGGTTGGCAAGTGCATGGGGTCTCTGCTGCTGTATGGTGTGGGCCAGGTGACCCTGCTGGTGAAGGTGGTGAGTGTGGGTCTTTTCTCAAAACAAGATAAAATATACAGTTGAAACACACAGAACCAAAAAGTGAATTCATCATCAAAAATGAGCTCAAATGAACAAAAATAAAATGGCCACGGACATCTTTGCCAAAATCATTCCTAGAAGTTTTGAGGACAGTTGTTTTCAAGAACACATTCAGTTATACAGTTCATGTCATACCACACATGTAAAAAACCATCCTTCTCTAAGTCACAATGAAATAAAAATCGTGTGAAAGCTCTGCAGTATAGTGCTTTGCATTCCCATGCAAAGCACAACAGAGATCTCTAAACTCAGACTAGTTTATCTAAGCCTGTGAAATTTCCTCCAAACAAACTGGAAGGAGGTCACCAATATCCAATGGACTTTGCATACAAGAGGCTCACGAAACTTGAATTCCAAATGAGCTCACGAGAAAACTTACATTGGCTCACAAGCCCTGGATTGTGAGAAGACCCAAAGACAAGCAAAGGAAAGTGCAGGGTGTACTGTGCACCTAGATGCCAGATTTTGAGCCCAGAGATTGCTTGAAAATATTTAATTTTCCATTTTATTAAGAGAGACAAAGGCAGACACTACCTCAAGGAGAAAGAGACCCTTCTTACTCCCATCCTCCAGGGCCAAGCAGGCATTGGTTGAAGCCTCCCAGGGCACATCATGTCCACACCATTAATGCCAACCTCCTTGTGGTCACCAGGTTCTGGGGTCACCTGGCCAGAGGCTGCATCTAGGCTGAAACTCTCTGGAATTGTTGCCTACCTGCTATCAAAAGTATGAGAAAAGCCCATAAAAGTGGAAATATGAATTTATTCACAATTTGGCCAAATGATGAGGCAAGTCACCCATGTTCCTCTAAGGCACAAAAGCACCCTAACATATAAGAGAAGTAGAAGAAAAGCCAGGAAATACCCAGTGTTAATTCAGCTAGGCTGTGTTCCACCATTAGGAGCAGAAAGAAGTTGACAATTTGGTTCTACTGAAACTTCCTTGGTGCCAGAACCAGGAGGGCTGCTGTCCTTCTGTGCATGAAGAAGTGGACACAATATTTAGCTTTAAAAATCTCAATTTTCAAATCTCAGTTTCAGCTCTTTACTTTTAAGCATATAACTGTCCACCCTAGGATTCATCTATGTTTGGAAACTGCTTCCTCTGGCCAGGCTATTATTGTCACTGAGGATCCTAAGGTCCAGTGGAACAGACAGGGTGAGTGACACCCATGAGCCATACCAGGCCTTTGCTCTCATCCTGACCTCCCTTCCTTCAAGGACTTTGAGTCTGTCCTCCCACTCAAGTTTCAGATTCAGGTTACAAGCAGGGAGGAGACAGCATGGGGACCT